GGAAGAACATGCAAACGCTACCGAAAGGCCCCGTCCGGAGGTAGAATCAAATCCAGGACCATCTTGCAGTGAAGCAAAAGTGCTTAACGCTGTGCCCTATTGTCAAAAAAGACGGACGTGACATGGATTTTGATACAGAAACAAGACCAAGATTTTCCAGAGTTCAAATAAAACCATATTTAATTATCTTTACAATGAAATATTAATACAAAACTTTCGGAGCTCTTATTTCCCTAACTAGTCCTATGAGCTGAGCCAATGTAACTATCCCTCCAGGCCTGAAAATGTACTGAGAGGACAACCAGGCGCTCTGCGATGTCCTCTCTCTCTCTGTCCCTGCTGTAGGGTATGAAAATTGTATGTGGAAAGGGGAGGCTTTGTATCAGTTTGTGTCGGTATCATACGTCGCAAACGTAGTCCTAAGCCTCGCCTACTCCGGGTTGAATGGATCTAAATTTTAAGTAAGAGGGGCACCAGCAGAGTTCGAAAAGTCTGCACAGATCCATTCTGCCTCGATCAGTCTCATAATCTGATAGGTCTTGAGCTCTATATCGGCCAGGGATATCATGAATTATACAATCAATCAATCAATCAATCAAAGTTTATTTGTAGAGCGCCTTTCATACACAGGGCAACACAAAGCGCTTCACAGTCCACATCACAAATCATCACATAAAACAAACACCAGAATCACAATTAAAACATTAAAATCACACAAAAGATTAAAACACAATTAAAACATTAAAATCACACAAAAGAATAAAACCATTAAAACTTTCAAAATTACACAAGAAATTTAAAAAAATAAATAAATGACAGCAGTGCATTAGAAATGGAGATAAAATCCTTCAGTTGTATGCACAGGCAAACAGAACAGTCTTTAACCTGGATTTGAACATTGACAGAGTAGATGCCTCCCTCACATTTTCAGGGAGATTGTTCCAGATCTTAGCTGCATAGATCTGAAACGCAGCCTCCCCATGTTTGGTTCTCACTCTGGGCACCAGCAGGAGGCCAGTCCCTGTGCTCCTCAGAGTCCGGGCCGGTTCATATGACACCAACATGTCACTAATGTATTCTGGTGCAAGGCCATGGAGAGACTTGTACACAAGCAGAGCTGTTTTAAAATCTATTCTTTGAGCCACAGGAAGCCAGTGCAGAGACCTGAGGACCGGACTAATATGGTCATACTTCCTGGTTCCTGTCAGGACTCTAGCTGCTGCATTTTGGATGTACTGCAGCTGCTTACAGGTCTGTTTGGACAGACCTGTAAGCAGGCCATTGCAGTAGTCTAGCCTGCTGGAGACAAATGCATGGACAAGAATCTCCAAGTCTGCCCTGGACACTATATTTCTAACTTTGGCAATGTTCTTCAGATGGTAAAAAGCTGTTGATGTTATTGATTTTATGTGGCTATTGAAATTTAGGTCTGAGTCCAGTATTACCCCCAAATTTCTGACCTTGTCTGAAGGAAGTAGGGAGAGAGACTGAAGTTGACAAATGACGCCCTCTCTTTGTTTCTGGGGACCAAAGACAATGATTTCGGTTTTGTCTGCATTTAGCTGGAGGAAATTATTTTGCATCCAGTCACTGATCTGTTGGATACAGTGAAGGAGCAAATCCAGTGGTCCATGTTCTCCTGCAGTCAGTGAGACATAGATCTGAGTGTCGTCGGCGTAATTGTGGTAGGACACTTTGTTTCTTTGTATTAACTGACCTAACGGCAGCATGTAGAGATTAAATAGGAGAGGTCCCAAGATCGACCCCTGTGGTACTCCACAGGTCAGGGCCACATGATCTGAGACGCAGTCTCCAATCTCCACAAAGTACTTCCTATCCTCCAGGTAAGACCTAAACCAGTCTAGGGCTGTGCCAGTGACACCAACCCAGTCCTCCAGTCTCTGCATGAGGATCTCATGGTCGACAATGTCGAACGCGGCACTAAGATCTAACATGACCAAAACTGTGACTTTACCTGCATCAGTGTGAAGTCGAATGTCGTTTGTTACCTTCACTAGAGCGGTCTCAGTACTGTGGTGGGGTCTAAACCCAGACTGGAACATATCAAAAGAATTATTCATTGTTAAAAATTCAGTAAGTCGTTGGGAGGCCACTTTTTCAAGAATTTTTCCAATGAATGGTAGATTCGATATGGGGCGATAATTTTGAAGTCCCGCAGGATCCAGACTGCTCTTTTTTAGGAGAGGTCTTATGACTGCTGTTTTTAGGGCCATAGGAAATGTTCCTGACGACAGAGACATGTTTACTATTTGTGTCAGTGAAGGTAACAAACTGCTCAGGACGGACTTCAGAAATTTAGAGGGCAATATATCCAGGCTACATGTGGAGGAGCTCAGACTCATGATTATCTTTTTGACAGTTTCAGTATCCACAGGTGCAAAGTGAGTTAGCTCAACAAGCTTCTCTGGCTGTTGCATTGTTATACGTGCTGTGGAGGTGATAGTGTTTTTGATTCCTTGTACTTTGTCATCGAAAAACTGTGCGAACTCATTACACCTAGATTTAGAGGAAAATTCTAGGGGCAACTTTACAGGGGGGTTCGTTAATCTACCAACTGTTGCAAACATAACACGAAAATTGTTACTGCAACCTCCAATAATGTCAGAAAAATACATTTCTCTTGTTCTACGTAGAACCCGGTTAAATTCACCCAACTCATCTTTAAAGATTTCATAATCGCCCTGGAAATTGGACTTTCGCCACTTCCGTTCGGCCCTCCGGCACTCTTGCTTCTGTGCCCTGACCGAGTCTGCCTTAGTCCATGGGGCCTTTTTCTTACTGGTAACTATTTTAACCGTCACAGGAGCAATGGCGTCCAGAACAGTCAGAACACTGGTGGTGACAGAGTTATACAATTCATCAACAGTAGAGCATGGAGTTTTCTCAAAATTTAGCATTCCCATGAACAGTTCACTTGTGTTTTCATGTATGTGTCTTCTTCTAACAATTGTAAATTCAGCTGGTGGTTTGCTAGCAAAACACATGTCAAAAAATACACAAAAATGATCTGACAAAGCAACATCAACTACATTAACATTTGATACATTAACCCCCTTTGTAATTAGCAGGTCAAGAGTGTGCCCCCTGCTGTGGGTGGGGCCACTCACGTGCTGAATGAAACCAAAGGTCTCAAATACAGAAGCCAGCTCCTTTGCATTTCTGTCATCAACATTATCAACATGTACATTAAAATCACCTGTAATAACTAAACTATCAAAATCTGTGCACACGAATGAAAGTAGTTCAGTAAAATGGTCAATAAAATCGCAACATGACTGTGGTGGCCTGTACAGGACAATGAAAAGAGTAGAAGATTGCTTTTGTTCCATTTTAAAAGAAATATACTCAAACGATGAAAAATTTCCAAGGGGCATTCTATGGGAGACAAAGTGCTCTCTAAAAACTGCAGCTATGCCTCCCCCCCTTTTGTTTTCTTGTACTTCGGATTCGAATTTAAAATTGGGTGGTGTTGCTTCTATTAGAACTGCATTTCCTGTATTTTGGTCCAGCCATGTTTCAGCCATAAGCATAAAATCAAGATCATAAGAAGTGATAAAATTATTAATTAAGAATGATTTGTTACATAGAGATCTGACATTAAGCATAGCAAGTTTAAAAATAACATCAGAGTCGATTAATGTGGTTGATTGATTTCTACAGGGAACAGAAATTAGATTTGCAGAGTTGGACCGTCTAACTGCTGTCCTGTTTTGATTTCGTTTTTTAGAATTTAAAAACATTTTTGAGCTGGTGCGAGGAACACACACAGTCTCAATTGGCCTAAAATGTGAAAACCCTTGTTGTTCTTTAGCTCCCAGAATCAGAAGGGAGTCAGCACAGTTCAGTGTTTGGACTGGTAATACACTGCCAGACGGACAGGGAGCAGTGTTTGCACTGTTGTACTCACCCGGTGCTGGTGAGCAGGAGGCGGGGGAGTGCGGTGGGGTCCGAGGGGGCTCAGATGTAAACAGTCACGCCCCCCTCGGGGAACGCTGAACAACGTAACGCATGTAGTCCATCAACAGGCTGCTACCGTATCTGTTTGGGTGTAATCCGTCTGGACGATAGGCTTCGTAACGTTTCCAGAAAAGGGCAAAGTTATTCACAAAGACAAAGTTAAAAGAGCTGCATGTAGCCTGGATCCACATATGCAGCGCCACAACACGACTGTAGAGGCAGTCACCTCTGTTTACAGTCGGGATTGGACCAGAAATAAAAACAGATAATCCGAAGGATTGAAGGAGGTGGAACAGATCCATAAAATGTTTCTTCGTGACTTCTGACTGCTGAAGTTTCATGTCGTTAATTCCCACATGCACGACTACCTTGGAAACGGTATCAGGCAGGGACTGAAGCAGAGGAGGGAGACGTATGAGCAGGTCTGGTACAGTAGCTCCGGGAATACAGCGAGTGACCGCGTTAAAGAAGCGGACGTGTCTCACGATGGAATCTCCAATAATCAGAGTGGTCGGGGCGAAGAGTGGACGTGGACGCGGCCTCGGAGAAGGAGCTCGGTGGACGGAACCAGCGGGTTCACCCGAAGCAGGACCCGAGCCTGAGCGCCGCTGAACACATGGAGAGGAGGAGCGGGGGTGCTGACTCTCAGCTACAGGCGACCCACGCTGTGTGCTCGGGGACGCTGGAGCGGTGAGAGGGGCTGGCTCTGGACGCTGCTGCTGACCCGGTGGAGGTGAGCGGTGGTGATGATGGCTCGCTACCCCAGTCTGAGGCTGCTGCACTGGGGTCAAGAACACTGACGACTCTTAAAAGTTAGCGTGGGTTTATTAACTACATATAGAAACGGAAACGGTAACCGGGAGGGATCATACAAGTATGATAAGTCACATGAACAGGAATGTCAGAAACACATCACCATCACACACAATACAACTCCAGAAAGTCTTACTGTTACTGCCAAGTCCCAGAGGTGAAGATGCTTCTACCCGTTTGGGTCAGGCGGTCATACACTTCGGTCTTCCTCACGCACGGCGAGCGGGCGCACACACACTCCAGTCTTTCCCACACACGGGAGCAGGGAGCGGGGATCGGTCCCGGGAAGCCCAGAGGTGGCTTGAGGCGCGATGGTCCACGGTGCTCCTTTTGGTGGGAGTTGGAGAGCAGTTTCGCCGCTGCGGGACAGGCAAGTCGAGTTCAACTCGATAGGGAAAAGGATCGGGCAGCTGTCCGGGCAGCGAGCTCCAACCTGCGCCTGGGTTGAAGTTGTGGGCCCCTGGATCGCGCAGGGGAGTGGGCCGCGCTCCAAGACGCGGCCCACTGGCCCAGAGAAAGGTTCAAAGAGAGCTCCCAAGAGGTTCACAAGCAAAAGTTAACACGAAAGTTATTGTGTCTCTGTTTTTGTTCCGGCTCTGGGGGCGTGTCTTATGACGTCGACTTTCCGCGCCTCCAGAACTCCTTTCATGAAATCATAGTTTTAACCACATACACGTTACTTAGACATAGACACACAACACACCTTGTTCACAGACAATGGTACACACGTTTTCTGATTTAAGATGTTAGCAAAACAACATATTCATCCGTGGTTTCAGTTGTCCGTCTCCGGTGTATTGGCGTCCCGTGTCCACTGGGGGGGGTGGTGGAACGCCGTTGCCGGCCCATGGGTGATGTCTATGGCTTTGTTTGAGGCGATGCAGACCCACTGGCCCCCTTTGAACCCGCCGGGGGTGGGGGCCAGAGGTGTGCTCTGGGGACGATCACTGTCTTTGAGATGACTGCTGTATCTATGTGAGCCATTGTGGTGCTCTATCCGACCTCCATTGCCTTAGATCAGTGTCTCCCAAAGTGGGGTCTGCGGCCCCCTGGTGGGCCGCGAGGGTACTGCAGGGGGGCCGCGGGAGGTCATAAAAAAAATAAACAAAATAATATAATTATTTAATGTTACATTTATGTTTTGTTTGTAATATTAAAATATTTGTGTTCATTATTTGACTTGAATAATCCACTGTAATCAGTTTGTAGCAGAGGCTATTTCCCCAAAATAAAATAACCAGAAGAGCCTATTCTTAATGTTGTCTTCTTGGTTATTATTTTGGGGGGCCACGCAGACCCGTCAGATTTTTAAGGGGGCCTCGGTGTTACTGAGTTTGGGAATGGCTGCCTTAGATGTTCCGAGCCGTGTGTTTTTGTTATCTCACACACAACCGGCCTGGGTCATCGCGGGGGGGCAGTGCATTTTATTACCTTACACTGCTTAGACTGATTTTCAAGATGTCCTACCAAACACTTTTATGAAAATGTATGAAAGAGGGCGGAAGTGCCTCCTAATACATCATCTGGCTCCTTATTGGTCTCGTGAGTCCGGTCTGGTCTGGTTTTAGGTCTAATCCCATGTCCTGATGAGAGAGGCAAGTGTATCACTTTTATAAAAACACTTGATTATTAATCATTAGTATAAACAATTTTATGGAGACATTTCATGATTAAATATAGAAATTCTTATTTTCATAGATGTTGATACATGGATGACAGAACATTTGTATCGACATGGGCTGCATTTCTGAAATATGCAACAGCCCCTATACCACACAACACAATCAAAAATACAGTTACAAAATTGGTTTTATATCCATCCATCCATCCATTTCCTTCCCCTTCATCCATTTCTGGGTCGGGGGGGTGGCAGTCAGAGCTGCACCCAGTCACAGAGCACCAGCTCCTCACTGATCCTCCTGCAGGTGGTGAGTCCACAGGAGCTGAGATCTTTCAGTGGGGGCTTCAGGCAAAGTGGAGTTAAGTGTCTTGCCCAAGGACACAACGACAGCAGTCATCAGTGGGAGGGTTTTATATACATTAGCCAAAAAAGAAACGTTACAGAGTTCTGCCATGTTTTGCAGGAGTGAGGAGGGCAAAACAACTATAATCTTGTGTATATTGGTTGGATGAGCAGACAGCCCCAGGTCTACGAGAGACGCAGCGTACCAAAGTTATTTATCTTCCTTTCACTCTTTCCCCCTCCGCTCATCCCACTGTTCAGGCATGTTATTAAAAACAAACAGCTCTTTGGACTCGGTGACCTTGTTCTTCACCTGCCACTTTGGAATTTTTATCTCTCACTAATATTTTGGTCCTTTCCACTGATTGCATCTGCAATAGATAATAGTATCAATACTTCATTCATTTATCAATCAATCAATCAATTAAATTGTATTTTAAGAAAGATACGCAAAGTACTTTACATTTCAAGTACAGCCAAAACCAATCCCACCTGTCCATTGACCTGTCAACATGGTGGCTGAGTGGAAAGAACTCTGGGAGGTCCTGGGTTCGAATCCCGGTCGGAATAGGGCCTTTCTGAGTGGAGTTTACTTGTTCTCCTTGTGTCTGCGTAGGGCGTAGGGTGCGTTCGGTTTACCCTACGACTAAATAAATGTACAATATTTCAGGGTGAATGAGTGTGACTGTGGGATGACAGTTACAAGGAAATGAGCCCATGGCAACAATCCAGAGTGATGTGTTCATTAAAATGTACTGTCCCAAACAAACAACCCAACAGACCCACCCAAAACCACACATATTATTAAATACACATTAAAGAAAGTGAAATGGTAAAAACAATGAAAAAAACATACGGCTCCCGGAGTGGCCGGCTGAAGAAGCGCCCACCCGAGGAGCCGTCAGCACCAGGACCAGAGACCAGGACCGGAGACCCATGTAGCTGCATATTCGTGCATGCCCAGAGAAGAGATGAAGCTGAGGCTCCAAACATCCACCAGCCAGATCCCTACGGCCCCAGCAGACCACCATAGAGGGCTCCCAGAGGAAACACTGGGGATACTAAAACAATAGAAGTACATTCTGGAATGTTAATAGATAATTGAAGTAAGTAAGTAATGTTTATATGTATTGCGCATTTTACAGACCAAGGTCACCCAAAGCGCTTTAAAATGTTCAGAGTTCAGATATTGTTCCAATCACTCCACGCACGGTGATATCGAAGTAAATACAGTTGACAAAGTGCTTCATAACACAAAGCACGACAGAGCATTGATAAAGCGCATTGAAAATGGACAGACAACATCAGAAAAATATATCTGCATAAGAACAGACGTTCAAACAGGCAAGTCAACAAAAGTGATTTTTCAGACGTCATTGGAGGATATTCTAAGGCCCAGTTTAGACGGGGGCGCTGCGCAGACGTTGCCAGGCTATTAACAGAACCGACCACGCTCCATATGCAAATTTCACAGCGTTCAAACGAGGATCAAAAACGATGTAGTTCTAGTGCCCGGCCAGTAGTGGGCAGAGGAACTTTACAACACGACACACGCGAGCCCCAGCGCCCCCCCACAGCAGTATACTCACCTCCTCTGCAAGATGTGAAAGATGCACCAACATCATTCTGCATTTTAACAGCAGCTGCGAAAATGTAAACTTAACCTAGAGCTTCGCGTGGTCTCGTTTGGACGAACTAAGAAGTAGAATTATCCTCTGTGTAGCACTCGAAGCACGCGTAGCTAGTGAGTTTACCCGCCGCCATTGTTGTTTACGTTTGTACATATCCATATGTACAAATGTACGTGCGGGGAGGTGGGGATCAGATCAGGCAGAGAATTCACACCTTTTTCCCTCAGTGGTCCATACCTGTGCTTTTGATTATACACACAGCCCCTCGCTAAGTGCTCTCTAGTGGCGCTTTTCCACAGCACCGGCACTACACCACTCTACACGACACGGCGCGTTACTTTTGCATTTCCACTAGCGTTGAAGCTAGGTATTGTGTTCTATTTTCGGACCGCCTCGGGAGCGGTTCCAAAAAGCTACACGCTCGTGACGTAAGCGGACTGCCTACGCTATTGGCCAACGGCTCTCTCACACTATTGGCCAACGACTGTCGTCACTGGTAGCGTCATAAGTGCGACGTCTGACCGTATTGAGAGACAAGATTCAACCCCGCCATTTTTAAAACTGCCCTGTGAGCATACGCACTGCACTCGAGAAATGGAATCCAGCAAGCCGCAAAAGTCCACACCGTGGTCTGTTGATGAGGTCCAAACATTTCTGTCTTTACTGGCCGAAGACAGAATACAGAAGGAGCTCGATGGCAGTACGCGCAATGAGAAGGTCTATAAAGAGATCGCCCAGCTCTTGCTAACACACGGTTACCACCGTACGCATCAGCAGTGCAGGGACAAGATTAAGAAGATGAAGTGCGATTACCGGGCCATAAAGGACCACAACGGCCGAAGTGGGGTCAATCGGAAGACCTGGAGGTGGTATGCCGAGATGGATGCCATTTATGGCCACAGGCCTGCAAACAATGGACGGGAGTGTGCTCTGGACTCTTCTTCCACGTCGAGAATGGGCGATAATGGTAAGTGCTTTGTAACTTTTATCTGTAGTTATTGTGAAAATGCATTATCACGTAACCTGTGGCTCAATGCCCACTGGAATGTATTTATTCATGTAAACGTTTGATTGTTGTCTGCTGTACAAAGTGAGCTAGCTACTCTATGCTATCGATAGCAAGCTGCTAACACGTGCTACATCTTGCCATTTCACGTGTTGCCATTCAGTTTTGTGCTTTTACTTAAGTCGTTGTGTGTGTTTGTCTTATTATAGAATCCCTTGTCGCAAGTGAAGCGTCGAACGACCCCCCAAGGTCCCCGTCTCCAATCCCTCCAGAACCAGCTGCTGCTTCGACGCCTGATGCGTTCCCTTCGATAGCGAGCGACACGTCTAGCAGCGCACAGCGTGTGGTCACGGGTAAGGCAAACATAATACATGATCGATAGATATTTTATTCATCACCCTGGGAGAAATTCATGTCCTATAGCAGCAAAAAAAAAATAATACAACTACATTGATACTGTGCCGCAACAGTGCAGCTCTATACCGACACCTGGTGGATCTCAGAAGTAATTGCATTCAACTCGGTGAAGTATGTCCAATTAATGCCTAGTTTGGACACTATCACCCTAGCTTTAGAGAATGTCAATAAAAAAGGAATCGGACCACCTGTCAGTGATCTTTTTCCAAATAAAAAATCTAATTTGTGATACAATACCACTTCACTTTGGTGTGAAAAAGAAATGCAGCGAAATGTAAGTTTAGCTGCACTGACTGATTTGATTAATCTGGGTGTATTTAAGTCATGCTCATGCTTTGTCCTAAAATGCCTAAACATTGACCATTAAATATTGTTTATTGACAAAGCGTGATACATGACATACAAACATTACCCGATTTGCAATTAAGTCAAATGATCCCACACGTAACACTTTAAGTGGAGGTTTTTCCTCTTTGAAAGGGTAGTTGTTGCAAAATCTCGGGTAGTGTGATATATACTGGTCTGAAACGTAATAATCTTTTTGCCTACATAAAAGTATGTCTCCAGAAATGTCACTGCTTTGGATAATTACCAACTGTTCATACTTTTTTTATTGTTGTACAGGGAAGAGAAAAAGGGCGCTCTTCCAGACGGAGACTGTAGAAATGATGAGGCAGATCCAAGCTGAAGATGTGGTGCAGCAGGAGCTGAACCGGACACAGCAACGCCAGCTCGTCAGAGAGTCGCAACAGTTGGAAGCGACATTGAGGAGGGAGGAAAATGCACAGGCGGCTGCATTTAACCAATCATTTCTTGGTCTCCTGGGCCAGCTGGTGGAAGCCATGAGTGGCCGCCGAAACTGACACTTCACCAAGACACTCTTCACCAAGACACTTTGTAAATAATTTTATTGGTGCACTTTAAAATTTTGTTTTTTTTAAATAAATGGGTGATTTTTTCCAAGCCAGGTTTCATTTCTCGGTACACATGAGTTAACATGCAAACCAAAGGTTTCACATTATTTGTTGTCAGTAAATCCTTAATTGTGGTAAATTTAGGAATAGGTTTATTTATTTAAGTGAGGAGCCTACAGGGAACAATACAGACTACTGATAATGTACAGCGTTGGTTACAATACAATAAGCTAGGAAAGTGGGTAAGAAAGGCACGATAAAGAGTTTGTGTGTGCACGTGCGAGTGGCTGATCCAAATCTGAAAGGGAATAAAGGTATTTGTAATGGTGGGAATGGTTAATGGGTGTATGATTGAAAATGTATGAATTAATATTTCATTAATATGCAATATTGGCTCTCTGCATATACATGAATACATACATGCATATCCCACCAAAAGGTTACAATGACAAAACAAGTAACAGCACAAAAAATGAATCCATTATGACTGTCAATACTTGCGCTACATAGTGTCCTGTTCTAGTGGTGCGTTGGACCTCTCCACTTGCCCTCTTGAGTTTCTCATTATTGCTATTAACATCCATATCTATATTAATGTTATCAGCACTATTTTTGTGCAATGCGAGCAAGTGCTGAAACCCATTTTTAAAAGTTAGCGGTCTCTGTAGTGGTATCTATGGAGGACTTTGAGTTGTATGTTTGAGTTTTTGGCCATAAAGTAAATGTTGCGGATTTGGGTCCAGAAATTGGCATCTGGAGAAAATGCAAAGTCTTGACATCGTGTTGGGTAGTGTCAATTCCTGTAAGTCATTTGCATAATTGAGTTTGTTTTTGGGAGTGAACTTTAGAAGCTCTGCGTTTAAATGGGCCCAGGTTGTGGGCTGTTTGGATATTGATTTGAATAACTGTTTGATTATTGATTTTATTTAGGATTATTGCTCTTCATTGTGAGTATTCCAGGAAGCATCTGCAGCAGATGGCATATTCCTGCGACTGTTCTGTGAGTGGTGACTGTAATGTGACCTATATGAGTAATACCTGTACTTTCCCAGGAGTGAAATATGAATAGAAGGCATTTTTGCTGAATACAAAAAGGTTTATTTGTTGTTCCAAAACAGGCAAAATGTTCAGACATTGGACAGAAAGTGACGCATCAGACCCTCCCTAACATCACTGCCCCTCATCTGCACCCTGTGCCACTGCTACCACAGGCTGAACTGTTGCTACAGGTGTGTCCCATTCTGTCACGTAGGTCTCTCCATGGTTTTCGCACAGATTGTGCAGAGCACAACAAGCCAGCACCATAGACTTTACCAGTTCAGTGTCAGAGTCATTCCTTTTCAGAAGACAGCGCCATCTTCCTTTAAGCCTGCCGAAAGCATTTTCAACAACCACCCGCCCTCTGCTGAATTTTCTGTTGAATAGTTGCTGTTCGTCTGTCAGTCGTCCGGTGTCCTGAAAAGGTTTTAGGAGCCAGTTCCGCAGGGGGTAAGCGGAGTCCCCTAGGAGGTAATAGCCAGCAGTCACCCCACCAATTTCTCTTGTGTGAGCTGGGAAGAGGCTTCCCCGGCAGGCTAACTCCCACAAGTTAGAGAGTCTCAAGACCCTGGCATCATGCAAGCTCCCAGGCAATCCGGCAAACACGTTCCAAAACAACCCCTTTCCATCAACCACACCTTGGAGAATAATGGAATGCCACCCTTTGCGGTTGAAATAGTCACAATGACATTCCTGTGGAGCCATGATAGGGATGTGGGATCCATCAATGGCACCAACACAGTGTGGGACCCCCCATCTGTTCTCGTTGTAGGCAGCAATCTCCCTGAATTTCTCCTCAGTAGGACAACGGATCTGCGCTGGGACCAACACCGCATTTGCTGCAGCACAAAAGTCTTGCACACAGCGGCACACCGTTGTTATACTGACTCCAAAAAGGTGACCAATGCTTCGGTACTCAGAGCCAGTAGCAAGTTTCCAGAGTGCGATAGCCAGTCTCTTCTTTAGGGGCACACATACCCGGTAAGTAGTGTCTTGTCGCTCCATAATCAAGCGCAGCTTTGTGCAGAGGTAATCAAACGTTTCTTTGGACATGCGGAAATTCTGCACCCACTGCGTGTTGTTGAAGCTTGGGACTACAATATCCCACCACTCGGAGGCTCGGTTTAAGGCCCACACCGATGGCTTGCGGCGGCGACGCAACCCGAGAAGCATCTGAAACACACACATACAGCATACACATATTAATGATTTACAGAGACAGCCAGCAGCCATTTTGTTCAGGACGGCTGCTACAAAGCTAGCGATAGCAATATTAGCTTACCCACAAACGCCGTCTTTTTTCAGCTCGTTGTCTCCTGTCCTCAACTGCAAACTCCTGCAAGGTTTTCAATAACTTCGTCATTCTTTGGTGTCTCGCCGCCTGGATTCTTCTCAGGCTTTTCAGTCTATTTGTGACTAGTAGCCACAGAGAGAGCAGCAACACCACGATCGTGTCGGAGTCCTCCATTGTTTGAGGATGTAATGTTTTTCCTGGTTTCATGCTCGTGAGTCGCGCTGAAATGGCGTAACGGTAGCGGAAATGACGTAACGGTAGCGGTGGTATGAAAAGCCCACCCACTTGAAGATGTCCGATGGAGATATGTGGAAAAGCACGCGTACTCGACCGGGTCGTGACGTGTCGTGTAGAGTGGTGTAGTGCTGGTGCTCCAGCAGGAGGCCAGTCCCTGTGCTCCTCAGAGTCCGAGCCGGTTCCATATACACCAACAAGTCAATAGAACGTTGTGTGCGACCTCTGACAGAGCAGTGCAGCTCTTGCTGCTCCCCCCGCTTGCTGCAGTTTTTATTCTCCTTTAATTCATTTTTTTTTGATTACAATTTTATTCCACAAAACACGGATTACTCCTTTACAAACTTCAACACAAGACTATGTGGAATTTACCATAACTTACAGCATGTCCGGAGAACGGGAAAACAGAACAAAACTTTGCGACCTGATTTTCACTCAAACAGGGAGCTAAAACTTCTTCAAAACCGAATGTTTGTGCTTGAATCAGATTGGGGCTGAACACAACAATACCAGTGAAGGAAATTGGACCAAATGGACAAAACGTAAGTTAGATACGCTACTTCAATTTCCCCAAAATCAACAGAGACAATTGTTGAACACATATGGTGCCCAAGCCCAAACAAAGGCAAACAATGTATAACAAGAGTTTCATAATGCACAGCAAAATCTTAATTACAAGAACCTCTTTTCCCCACTTTTGGCAGATGAATCAGCATAGTCTCTCAGTCCCATCTCAGTCTCAGGTCAAGTCCAAATGCAAGCTAGAGTCGCTCTTTATCGGCGATTCGGCGATAAGACACGTAAACATGCGTTATCTCGAGTTCCCTCAGTACACTCTGCCAAAGTGGATGAGATATAGGCGGCTGGCGCCGAGGCTTCTGTCCTGATACCGACCGCGGGGTAAAAAGATTGTGATCCACGTGGGGGGAGTAGAGACGTCAAGACATCACAATGAAAAGTTAGAAACGGGATACTCTCTCTTAATTGGACGACCTTGCTAAAATGGACCGCAACTATCGTTATCAGTGGCCCACTACCAAATGTTGGACTGAAGCAAATGAAAATACAAGTTCTGTCAGTCATATCAGCTAAAAACTTTTCCTCTACTCAACGAATGTCAACGCAGAGGACTTGGCCTTCATTGAGAATTTTTAATCTGGTCTGGAATATGGCAAGAGCTTTTTGATGAGGGAAAGGGCCACATCTAACACATTACGGAGTAAAAGTGATTTGAAAGATAACCAGTCTTTTTTGCCCTGAACCTCATCCTCCGCAGCGCTGCAGCCATCGTAAAGGGAGGAGAGCCGACTCTAAAAGTCTCAGCACCCTCCACCACCTCGAAGCTCCAACACCGTCCACACATCGAAGGATCTCAACACCACCACCACCAGCAACAGATCCCTCACCACAACACCACCTCGAAGGATCTCAACACAACCACCACCTCGAAGGATCCTCAACACCACACCACCCCCGAAGGATCTCAACACCATCACCGCCTCAAAGGATCCTCAACACCAACCACTGTCACAGAAGCACTGCATCATCAACCAGTAAGCATAACCACACCACGACCAACCACCACCACCAACATCTTCATCCCAGCTGCTCCAAAGCAGCTCACGCCTTCTTCTTCTATACAGCGCCTCTGAAGCCCCCATCCTCACCCAGGTTACAGCAGACTAGGCTCGTGCTGGGTTTTCCTCAACCACCAGCCCTCCACAAAGACCCCCTCACACGCCACCTCCCATGGACCTGTCTTGGTCCCCCCTGCCACTCCACTCCTCAAGAATAGAATGGGACTCTCCCTTTGTTTTTTCATCCCCGCCATCCACTTGTTTGACCTAGCCTGAACACTCTGCAGGGCTAATAATATCGCGATTAAGACTATTCCTCTCACAACCCATATCTAGCTCAATCTAGAGTCCTGTCCAACATGCTAAAACCACTCACCATAAATGTACCCTCCAAAACCAACCTAGGGTTTTACCAATTCAACCAACAAAAACCACCGTCAGCCATCCTCCCCTAACCTCATGGACAATACCACCGCCCCACTTCCCCCTCGTTCAACACCTAAAACAAAACCTCTAGCTCAGCCCAGCGCCCGGCCACTAACCCATCACCAAAAACCCTCCACCCTCCCTGCCCCCCTCGTTCAACACCCAAAAAGCCACCCACCTCTCCATCCTCCTCCCCCGCCTTCCCCTTCCCTCTTTTCTCTAAACACTAGATGCACAGGTCCCTGCTATCGCCGCCACTGGCAGTCTAGGTTTAGAGGAGAGACGCGCTGGGGCCCTGTCATGAAGCCACCTGCCCATTCCCTTTAGGAATAAACACAAAGATATACATTACAGAAAGACATCTGGATTAGATAAGTCTAATCTGGAAAATCTAATTCTTGTTCCGTGTAAGAATCTGCCGACACCACACCGCTTGAGCACTGAAACTTAGAAACTTGCTACGCTTAAAGTCAGATCTCTTTGTAACAAGTCTTTTTTAATCAACAATTTTATTTGTTTTCTCATAATCTTGATCTTATTGTGCAATGCTGAAACTTGGCTTGACCAAAATTCAGGAAATGCGTTTTAATAGAAGCATCACCACCAAAATTTCAAGTTTGAATCTGAAATAACGGGAAAACAAAAAAGGAGGAGCTTAGCTGCCTTTTCCAGAGACCCACTTTGTCTCCCATAAATGTCCCTTGGAAGTTTTCGTCTTTTGTAATATGTGTCTTTTAAAATACAACAAAAACAATCTCCCGCCAATACTTATCGATGTCCTACTACAATCCACCCGCAGTCCATGTCACAGTTTTATTGATAATTTTACCGAGTTGCTTCAGTTGTATGCACAGATTTTGGATAGTTGGTTATTACAGGAATTTTAATATTCATGTGGATAATGTTGATGACCAGAAATGCAAATGAGCTGAGTTCTGTACTTGAATCCTTTGATTCTCACTCCAAGCACGTAAGTGGCCCCACCACAGCAGAGGGCACACTCAGATCTGTTAGTTACTAAGGGGGTGAAATGTTCAAATGAAAACGGGTCGATGTTGCTTCTTTCGATCATTCTGTGTTTTTGACATGTTTTCACTAAAACAAACCCACCATGCCCTCTGCAACTGTACGAAGAAGACACATAAATGAAAATACGGAAAAAGTGGGAAAAAAAACCCCTAGAAAATTTTATGGGAATGATAAACTGTGAGAATGCATCGTTTCTACAAATAGATGAACGTTTAACCTTCACCCTCTAGTGTTTGAATGTTCCTGGAAACCGTTTGCCACCTGTAAGGTTAAAATAGTGAAAACTAACAAAGGAGCCGTGGGCTAAAGCAGACTCGGTCAGAGGGCACAAAAGAGAAAGTGCCTGGAAGGGCCGAGCGAAGTGGCGCCAGACCAACCTCCCAGGTTGATACGAGAACTTCAAAGATAAGTTGTGCGAGTTTTAACCCGTGCAACTATACGAGAGAAAGGTATTTTTCTGGAAAATGATTGAAGGCTTGCAGCAACAATCTGCGTGTTCTGTTTCAACAGTAATATAGATTTAACAAACCCCCCCGGTTCAAGATGCCATTAGAGCTTATCTTCCAAACGAAAATGCAATGATTTGCTACTTTTTTCAATGACAAAGGTTCAAGGCTCAAAACGCCATTGTCTCCAATCCACAGATAACATCCAACAGCCAGAAAGGCTCTCTGATCTAACTCACTTGCACCTGTAAATGATAAACTGTCCAAGAGATAATCTCCAGTTTGAAGCTCCTCCACATGCCAGCTTGATGTCACTACCCAATAATTTCTGAAGACCCCTGTTCTGAGCAGTCTGTTACCTTCACTCACATACAGATAGTAAAACATGTCCCCTTCATTCTGAATAATCCCAAAGGCCCTGAAAACTGCAGACATCAGGCCCCCAGGCTAAAAAAGCAGTCTCGATGCTACGGTAACTTAACAACTATCGTCCCATCTCAAATCTGCCATTTATGGGGAAAGTCCTTGAAAATAGTTTCTACGCTACAGCTTACTAGATTTCTTATAAATCAACAATCATTAGCTATGTTTCAGTCCGCATAGTCCCCACCACAGCTCTGAGACAGCGCTCGTCAAGGTTACACAACGATACTCCGGCTGAACACTGCCGCATGCAAAGTTCTCAATCTTAAACTTTTAGATCTAAGTGCTGCCTGGTGACAGAAACCGTCGACCATGAGATCCTACAGAGATAGAGGACTGGGTTTGAGGTCGCTGGCAACCGGGCCCTAAGTTGGTTAGTCTTACCTTGAGGCCAGAAGTACTTTGGTGATTGGAAACGTTCTCAGATCATAATGGCCCTGACCTGTGGAGTCCCACAGGGGTCGATCCTGGGGACCTCTACTGTTCAATCTCTACATTGCTGCCGTTAGTCAGTAATACGCAGAAACAAAGTTCCTATCATAACTATTGCGACGACACTTACAGACTATGTCTCACAGACTGCAGGAGAACATGGACCAGTGACTCACATCCTTCACTGTAATCCAACAGATCAGTGAGTGATGCAAAACAACTCCTTCAGCTTAACGCAGACAAAACTGAAATGATTGTCTTGGTCCCCAGAAACAAAGAGAGAGCGTCATCTGTCACCGACATTCCCTCTCATCCCTAAAACCTTCAAACAAGGTCCAGAAATCTAGGGGTATAATACTGGACCTCAGACTTAAATTTTAATAGCCACATCAAATCAGTAACACAGCAGCTTTTTACCAGCTAAAAAACATTGCCAGTATCAAAAACATCTGTGATCTAAGAGCAGACTTGGAGATCTATCCATGCATTTGTCTCCAGTATGTTAGACTACGCAATGGCCTGCTCACAGGTCTTCAAACAGGCCTGTAAAACACTGCAAGTACATTCAAAATGCAGCAGCTCGAGTCCTGCTAGAACCAGGAAGTACGACCATATTATCGGTCCTCAGTCTCTGCACTGGCTCCTGTGGCTCAGAGAATAGACTTTAAACAGCTCTGCTTTGTACAAGTCTCTCCATGGCTCGCAACCAAAATATATATATTTAGTGACATGTTAGTACCCTATAACCTAGCCCGGACTCAGAGGAGCACAGGGACTGACTCCTGTTAGTGCCCAGAGTCAGAACTAAACAGGGGAGGAGAGCTGCTTTTCAGATTCATGCTGATAAAATCTGGAACAGTCTTCCTGGAGATGTGAGACAGGCCTCCTCTCAGACAATGTTAAAACCAAGGTAAAGACATTTCGTTTAGCTGTGCATACAACTGAGGGAATTTATATTGTAACTTTACTTTTTAATGTTCTGTGATTATTTATGATTTTAATGCTTTCCTTGATTTGTTCCGCCATCTTATTGAATTGCCTTGTGTTAATAATT